ACTAATAAATTAGACAAAAAAAATCTTTAAATGATATCGTTATTTTACGTAATAACCTGTACCCCATCTAGTGTTTATTTCTTATAGAAAACATTTTGAAAAAAAAGTTATTAGTTGTACATCATATTGATCATACCAAGCACATGTTTTGCATCAAGGAATCTTAACAGGGAAACAACCAAGTCAATTCAAGAGATGAATTAAAATACCATCTCTATTTATTTCTTTTTGGTAAAACTTGCTAAGTACGTCGTAAATTCCTGACATTTAGCGTGTATCAATCTAGAAATGTGTATTTTTTACATCACATTTCAATTTAGTGGTAATTTGCTAAAAAAAATACTACGACCTCTATTTTAAATTTTCTTACTTAATTGAAGGGAGGTAATTTAGAATGGATGTCTTTACCTCATGATAGGTTATTGTTTACGTCGTTAAGTACCAAATTCAGCTGCCAATTATCTCGACAAATAAACAGAACTGACGTTTCTTACACGCATAATTGTCCCAAATAATATAGTTCCACTTGTCTTTGGAGAATAATTTGAATGCAGGTATTAGCAACTAAATGAAGGAGAAAATGAGCCGGCATGTGAAGAACACACTTCCGGCTAATCAGGAGAGTGCACACGGATTGGAGGGTTCACAAATCAGAGCAAACCGACATAATTGAGGCTATCCACCGTGCACTGATACAAGGGTCCACATGTCATGCTCACGAAGAAAGGTGGTGGAGAGAGGTGGTTGCCCTTGTTTGGCCGAACCAGGGGTCGAACGAACCTAGCCTAGCCCCTCTCATCTCCACCCTTCACGCGGTGCTTCCTCATTGCTTTTAATGATGATTGTGCGTGAAACAGCCATCAATAACAGTCATTAGACAACTATAAAAGGAGGAGAAGCCCTCTCTCCAAACACACACTCAAGAAGCAATCTCTCTATTTCTTATTTTTATTAGTCGCTATATTAGTGGAGATTAGGCTAAGAGTAGCTTTACTATTTGGTTTCCTAGTCCTCTTGAAGATTCGGGAATGTCTCTAGTACTATTCTTTCTTTGTAAGACTTTGAGCTTATTAAAACTTTATCTTTTTTATTTATTGGTGTTCAGGGTTCATATACTGTTTTCTCAATTATATGTTCATTGAGTAGTTTATACTTATTGCATATGTTATATATGTTTAGACTAGTTGATATATGCCACAACATCTGTCCAATGATCTTAACGGATTCAATTTAGAATTTATATGCTGGTAATTCGAATATAATCATAATCAGTTATCAAAGCACATTAAATAATCTCAATTTTAGTTGATACAGTAAAAGAATATTTTAATAAAAAATCACCCACACATGAACATTGGTAATAATATTTCACGCACATTAAATAAGATGCTCGTGTATATGCGCGGGTTACCTTCCTAGTTCCTAATAAAAGTATTTAATTGAGATACAAAAAATGGGTGAGTATATGTGTTGATGCGAAAAACACACACAGGTCTGGGAGACCTGCTTAACTCCAGTGCAGGTCCTAAATCTTGCTCTTAGGATCGAAGACGTGCCAGTTGATTTGATCCTGCAATCAACAAGAAGAAAAGACAAGAAAACCGAGGTTAAATCCATAAACGATAGCCGATCGGCTAGGAGCCGATGACATATTGTCAATCATTAAGCCGATGTTATTGGCACTAGATCGGCAATGAAGAATAAAGCAATGTAACACTAAATCTACTCGATCGACTGTAGTTATTAACGATATATAATCCTTTTCTCAAAGTATATTTAAACTAAGTGATTGGGATAGATCGAACAACAAGTCGAGACAGTATAAATCACTTAAGTCTAAAGATACATTAAGATAATGATTATATATACGTTTATAGCATAGCCGATCAAATAGATCTAGCATGTATCGGCTAATACTCTGATACCACTCTATATTAAGATATAAAAACAAACAAAATATATCAAACAGAAAGCTTAATATACGTTATGCAATAAGATCTTAATACAAAGGGCAGATTTAGCATATCAAGCAAGCATATAAGGATTAAAATTGCTAAATCAGGTAAGATCGGCTGAAACTCCGACACTATCTCTATTGATGATCATAAAACAGGCTAGATATTGCAGTTATGAATATTACTTAATAGATCGAACTCAACCGATGCAGCATTAAGCATAAAGATAAACAAAAGATCTAGGCAAGATGATGAAAATCTCTAAAAGATGGTAGATATGCTATATAATCTAAATTAACAACAACATCTAACTCTATCGGCTACTTTCTAGTGATAGATACCAGCCGATCACGGGTTAGATTATGAATCCAATGAAGATTATGAAGCATATATGATAACTCGACAATTTACATAAACAAGATTAGAGTATCATGATGATGGAAGCACTAATCCCGAGAACGCAAGCCGCCATGACAAGTTTACCTCTTGTTGAAGATCGAAATCGATGCAGCTCAACCCGAAAGCAAGAACTCGTCGAAACAATGAAAGTAGAAAAAGGGTGGCGATGCGCCGAAAGTGTTATTGAACTGTCGTTGTAAATTACATAGGGTCGGGTCATATTTATACCTGAGATACATGATTGGTCCTTGCTAGACACGACTCTTATCTCTAACAGACTTCTAAGATACGGAAGAGTTTTAGCAGCAAACTCTTGCCGAAACATATCTCTAAAGAAACTATCTAAAATATCCTAATTAATAGATACAATTGCCTATCTAAGAGCTCATCTCCATCGTGGCAATCCTCATGTAGCACGTTGATCGATCCCGGAAACAGTTTCATAACCATCTCAACGAAATCGGCTACATCGGCTGTATCGGCTATCTTCTGTCCAATCCATCTTAGCCGATGCGATCCTCAGCCGATGCCCTCGCAGCCGATACGCACTCTGTTCTTTGAGTACAATCCTTCGCCGAATCCACTTTGATTCCTATGTCGAACCTGGTTCATATGATTTACCAAATTTGATCGTTAACTATATGATAGGAAAGTCCGTGGTAAGTGTATGGTACTACTTTGTAAGTATATATATAAGGACTAAACAGTTGGCTAGATTAATACCTCTAAATTCAAAATTAGTAATTGTAAAATATGTAGTTCTCTATTTAAGAATCATGACATTTGTCAGAATTATAATTAATAAGCACTGATGCTGTGTTTGGATGTGTAGTTTTCCAACTTCTACTCTCTCATTTTCTATGGGCACACTTTACAAACTGCTAAACGTTACCTTTTTTAGCAAAAAAAAAAATTATATCCAAAAGTTGCTTTAGAAAATTATATTAATCTATTTTTAAGTTTATATTAGCTAACGCTTAATTAATCATGCGCTAATAAATCGCTCTATTTCCCATGATGAAGATAAAGGTTCCTAACTCCATCAAACGAACATAGCCTGAGTTGAGTCGAATTTTTCTATTTTTAAATTTAATAATTATGAATTTCTAAAAAATATACAATTATAAAATTATGAATTCATAAATTGTAATTTTGTATCTAATATAGCCTTTTTCTTATTTGAACCTGACGTTGACAGAATCTCTTCCGAATATATTGAGAAGAAATAAAAGCAGAAAACACAAATAAGGTTCAGAGAGTTAAGGAACAGGGGAGGTTACAACTTCAAAAGACAGATAAGGCTAATACAAGGTTCAAAGCTAATGCACGTTAGTCTAGGTCCTCTAAGATGAGACCCACAGTCGTCAATTCGTCGCTGTTTGTGTATTGGAAAATTCTTACGTTTCTTTCCCGCCAAATGCTCCACCTAGGAGGACCTTGTTTGCTTAATCCCTATAAGGAAGGGATTGGAGCGGATTTTATTCCACACCTATTGTGGTGTGGAATTATTCCCCCTCAATCTCCTCCCATATTTTTTTAATCCTCCTCCAAAATCGAACATGGCTGAAGTGAGAAAGGTTCCCAGAATACATAGCCATATCTAATACTCCCTCCATCACAAAATATTTGACGCCGTTAACTTTTTTAAAAATGTTTGACTGTTCGTTTTATTAAAAAAATTTAAGTAATTATTAATTCTTTTCCTATCATTTAATTTATTGTTTAAAAAAGTCAACGGTGTCAAACATTTAGGGAATGAGGGAGTACGAGACTTTCTCATATAGCCTTAAACAACTAGAAATACACATGCTGCTAGGGATGGCAATTTCCCCCGCGGGGCGGGTCCCCTGCGGGGACCCGACCCTACGGGGGCGGGGGCGGGTTCAATTTTTGACCCACGGGTGAGGCGGGGTCGGGGCCCCGTATTTTTGCGGGGAGGGGACGGGGGAGGCATTTCACCCGCGGGGCCCTGGAGGATGTATATTAAACCTTAAAATGTAATCCTGAGACCCAAAAGAGCCCAACCCAACAAAAGTCTAAAATATAAAAATAAAAGAGCCTAACCCTAACCTTATCCTCTTTCCTCTCCCCAATCTCCTCTCCCCGTCACCCTCACACCACAGGCGGCGGCGGCGTTGACAGCCAGGCACGGGCGATGGCGCGGCCAGGGTGCAGACGGCGGCGTCGACGGCCAGGCGCGGGCGGCGGCGTCGACGGCCAGGCGCGGGCGGCAGCGGCGACCAGGCGCGGGCAGCGGAGTCGGCGACTAGGCGCGGCGGTGGCGACGGCCAGGCGCGGGCGGTGGCATCGACGACCAGGCGCGACCTGGGCGGGCGACGGTGTCGGCCAGGGCACAGGAGGCGGCTGCGAAGGCCAGGCGCGGGCGGCGAAGGCCAGGCCAAGTGCGGGCGGCGGCGGCTCGCCTCGTCGCCGTTGTCCATCGACGGCTAGGTAGTGCGGGCCTCGCCTCGTCTCGTCCACCGCGGCTCGCCTCGTCGTCTTCCAGCCGGGTTGTGCGGGGCCCCGCTCACCCGCCGGGTCCCCTGCGGGGACGGGGGCGGGTGACGTGTTCCACCCGACCACCTCTGCGGGGTCGGGGTCGGGGGGAGAAGTCGGGGAGCGGGGGCGGGGGCGTTCCAGCCCAACCCGCCCCCAACCCACCCCGTTGCCAACCCTACATGCTGCCCGGTGCACCGGGTAAGATAGGAACTGCCACTGCTAAAATATTTGTTCAAAATTTTGACTCTTTTATATACGAGGACATATCCGGTGAAATTGAGCTAAGTGTTGAAAACTCGTGAAAATCATACCTAAAAGTTTCGTAAATTTATGAAAAAAATACTAGAGATAGGTGTAGATATGAAATACATTCTCACCAAATCTTAACTCCAAACTCAAGTTCGTTTATGAGAAACAAAAAAGACAAATTTCAGGTAAATAGTGTCCTGTTACTATTCACCTGAAATTTGTCTTTTTTGTTACTCCTAAACGAAGTTGAGTTTGAACTTGAGATTTGGTGAGAATGTATTTCATATTTACACCTATCTCTAGTATTTTTTTCATGAATTTATGAAACTTTTAGGTATGATTTTCACGAGTTTTCAACACTTAGCTCATTTTCACCGATATGTCCCCTTTATATACAGCGTCTCTATCGTTTTCCGCCCGCGGCTGGCTCCTATCTTTTTGACTTGTTTTGAGTTTTGACGACCCCACGGGGCCGACCTGCACACTTTGGACGGTAGGCGCTCATCCCCTTCACTTTGCTCCTCCACCATTTATTTACTTGTTCATTTGCTAATTAAGGACTCTTCTTTAATTTTGTCGCCTTTGATCTCGTCGGCGATGCTGGTGCCATTGGAAGCTAGGATCGATCATATGTCATAGCAGGCTGCAGCTAGATCTCCCACAGTAGTAGTGGTCGTGTGGTGTGATTGATCTTGCACGAGCATCACCAGCCAGGCTGTACTGCATCAATCATATATCGATCGCTGATTGCAGATTGGCCTTGTGTGTCGACAGGTAGATCAATCGGTCGGATCATCTTGTACAACTAATTAAACATATCACTTTGTAGTTCGTAGTTCATCATTCTTAATTATCTCTGCTAGCTGTTGTTTTCTTTGTACACAGAGAGGGAGAGAGGCGGCGGCTAGGCATGCCGATTGGAGCAATTTCGACGGTTGGGCCGGCGATTTCGCCGGGCATCAAGATCGCCGAAATCGCGGAATCCTTTGTGGCGAGGAAGTACAGACGCTTGAGAGATTACAGAAAGGACGTTGCACAGCTGGTGGGTGAAGTGGGGAAGATCGCAGTGGCCGTGGACACGGTGGAGGAACAGGAACAGTTCATGAGCGACCGTCGGATCGTGGGGCAACTGAGTGAGCTGATGGACGCCATCCACGAGGCTGAGGACATCTTGGACGCCGTCGACTACAGAGACAGTATCTGGGCGAGGAAGCACAAGGTCAGGCAGGTTATCCATTCTATAGTTGAACAAGCTAAGCGGATAGTCGGAATAGACGGCGCGTTGAACCGGCTGGACAAGTCGATGAATGACCTGCCACGGATGCAGCAGAACCAGCGGGATCTTGTCCAGCTGTCAAATTTCCGGTCATCACAAGGAGGAGGAGATGGGGGTGCGTCCGCGTCGAGGCCAAGATCGGCCACGGGCCTATTGCCGGACGGCAAACTCTACGGTTACAAGGAGGAGTACGATCGGCTGGTGTCGGCCTTGCTGTACGATCCTCCCCGGCGGCCTGGTGGCAATGGCAATGGCGGCGGTCAAGTCGTGGCGGTCGTCGGCGACGGCGGCGTTGGCAAGACTGCGCTTGCTCAGCACGCGCTGAGGCACGTGGACGTTCAAGCAAGGTTTGATCATGTGATCTGGGCGAGCGTCCCACACAAGTACAGGAACAAGGACCTCTTGGCTGAGATCTGGATGTCCGGACCGGGTGCTACTGCTACTGCGGCTACACACAGGTGCGCCGACCAGATGAGCTTTGGTGCCCTTCAGGCGGAGTTCGTCAGGCTGGTGTCTCTGTCATCCCAGAGGTACCTGCTCGTCCTCGACGATGTCTGCAACGATGAGTCGGACGACGACGATCATCAGCGGAGCAGGAAGGAATGGGAGGATGTCCTTGCCCCCTTCAAACAAGGGGAACGAGGGAACACATGATTTCTTTTACCTTGGATATCCGTGCGGATGCTGTCCATCTGCTGCATGAAGATTTCCTGCATCCGGATCACATAAAGGCAATCGGTTCAATCAGAATCGAGCACTACACATGGTCGACTGAGCCAAACCTCAACCTCCTTGCTTCTGTTAGGAGCCTGTCGTTAACCCGATGTCCTGTGACAGACAGGAGTTTGAGCATGTGCCTGCATAAACTGCAGTCCCTCGAGAGACTAGAGATATCTGATTGCCCTGAACTTCATGACTTCCCCGATGATGCCATGCCTATGATGGCATCCTTGAAATCCCTCGAGTTTAACGGATGCCATCCTCTTCTTATGAAGAAGCTACAAGGCAGGACTGGCGCTGCCTGGGAAAGGATTCGCTCCATCCAGCGACTAGAAATCGTTTAAACTCAAGGTACAGACTTTGCCCGACATTAACCCTTCATCTAGATGTGTTTTCCTCTCTGTTTCTTTTGTTATCATAGGACGAGAATAGTGCTGCTTTTAACTTCATTCAATCATTCAGAGCTGAACAGTTTCTAATCTTTTATGTAGGTGGGAATGGTCTTAAGCAAGTGGTACTAGGTATCAAGGGGAAAGGCAAGACCAACAGCATAGCGCAAGTGTCACTGCTCGGTGGTCATCACGCTTAACGACCTCTGCTGAATTTGGTTCTACGGGACTTGTTAGATGGGGAAAAATATAAAGTGCAAACCACATATACAGTGACAACTTAGAAACTAATATTAGCATAAAAATGAATGTATGAGATTTATCCATGTCACCTAGAGTGGCAGTAAAAAAAATTTCATGAATAACTCTCAGATTTAACCATGGGTTAAAAATTTTATTCGAGATGACGTGGACGAATATCAAATGTCTATTTTTTTTTTATCCTACGGTGATTTTGTAACATTTATTTTTCGTGTTTTATGCCATGCTTATGCATTCCATGTTGTAAAAACCTGGCATGTTGGTACAATATTGAACACTGAAGAAATATGTATATGCATTCCCATGAAAGTATTTGATCCTTCGGTGAAACACTTGAGCATGGTGTTTTGCTAGCAAGCTGAAAAGGTTAAGCTTTGCAAGGTAAGAAATCAGTTTGCAAGGATTTTGGCTTATCAGACTGGTGACAATGTTTCGGAAGAATTAAACCAAAAGAAGAGCTGAATAGGACTTCTAAAATAAGTTAATTTTGTACGAAATATGACATACCATAATGCTATGAATGTGAACGGTATTTTATACTAAATTAACTTATTTTAAAACGAAAGTAGTAATTAATAAATGGTGGAGCATCCGGCTAGAATGGAACAGGAAGGGTTTTCGGGATTGCTATCAGAAGGGCAATTCAATCTTTTCACAAAATTAAGAGGGCATTTTAATAATTTTGTGCTCTGGACCCAACCTCCCATCAAGTCATCATGTCCCTTCTATTATGCAATCATGTGCTACGTCCGTAGTACAGAGGGGTTGCATAATGTCTACGAAAATAGAGACACAAGATATGATGGTGTGGCCATATTCTCATTCATTCTCTTCTCTTGGGGCGTGTATAACGGTGAGCCTTCTCCCTCTATTTATAGCCATATTGCATATATGGCAGGTTTAGGTGTGGGCCCAATTAGTATATATGGGCTGGGCCTTCATGGGCCCAGGCCCATAGGATTCCTAACACTCCCCCTTGGGCACTCACCGCGTGAAGTCTATGCCTCATCAAAACTCCAGAAAAACCCAGTGGGAAAATTTTTGAGAAAGAGTACATAGCATACGCTTGAAATGTCGCACGAATTGCCTCATTAAAAACCTTGATAAGAAACTGTCGGGAAAACTTATCTAAGGGAAAAAAGAGTACAATCCATCCAATTCTTCGTTCAATCCTTCTAGATTGATTTTGGGTACTTAATTTTCTATATCAAGATTCTGAAATAAGTATTTCAGTGAAATTCTCCCCCTGAATTTTGTATTTCTCTAAGTCTCATTATTCCGATTTCTCGGACACACCTATTCAAGAGAATATGTCAATAATGAGTTAGTGGACAAATTTGCAAGACTTTCACATAACTTAGTTTGTTGCTTCTATGAAATCCATGCACATAGAAGAGTTACGGGTTCATTTGCTTAGTGAGTTTGCTTCTCACGTAACTCATTTGCATATGTGCAACATATGCTGCTTTAATTTTCATAAAAGGTGGGGGTTGAGATAGTTTTCAAATCGCGATTATTGTCACGAGCAACCATCTCTCAAAACCATGCCGAGGTTTTGAATAGTTCAACGATGCTTAGTTCGGTTTAGTTCAATTAGCCAAGTATTCGTGTATTGCTATGACATACTCGTGTTTGGGAATTATGTCCCATTTTTTGCGGTAATTGACTATTCCAAAGCCATGCACCATAAACATTTCTAAGCGTGGTTGGATTGATGTACTAGACTTCCATCTGTCGCATGCCTTTAGCTACAAGCGTAAGCACGATTTGGATTCGACCAAATATTTCAAATCAAACTCAAATTCAAAACTAACGAGTTTGTTTCTTCAATTCTTTTCCAGATTATTCTATTCTTTCTGTGTTGGTTTGGGACCTAGTACTTCTTCATGTACTATCATGCAAGTGTCCGATCCAAGCTCCTGAAATACATTCATTGATTCTATCTTCAATGCTTATCAACATTCAGGTTGAGTTCTTTTCAAGCTCTTGAAATGCATTCATTAATCCCATTCAACTCCTGGTTGACTGCCAATGAGTTTTGTTGTCTAAGAGACTTTGCCCATAATAGGTGTTGACGGTCGTTATCGATCAGTTTCGACCGTCAATATTACCAAAATAGAGGAGAACTAGTGATGCTTGCAATGCATAAATATGTTGGAATAATAATATTCCACTAGTAGTAGGCATACTAATCTTTTGCAGAGAATGACAATAAAGTAGAGGAGAATCGACATCAACACAAACGATAAATCAATCGGACGATGTCGAGAACCAAACTTATGTATGAATGGGCCAAGAACTCAGAATTGACACGATGAATTGGGCCAAAATTCACAAGTCTACGAAGTGAAGCAAAAGGGGAGGCTGCCTGCCGAAATTGGGCTAGGTCGGCCTAGCCAATGGTTCGGCCGAACCACTCCGTTTGATCCAGGGTTCCCCTGGACGGCTGAGATTGCTCCCTAATGACGGTTGGAGGGTATTACCGACCATTCCAACCGTCACAACCGTCATTGGGAGGCTATAAAAGGAGCTCTCATCCTCACTTCACTCACACACCTCAACCAATATCTCTCTCATTTCTCTCAAGTTTAGTTTAGTAGTATCTAGCTGGTGGAATAGGAATAGAGTAGAAATCAGGAGTCCGGAAGCCTTCGGAAGAGTTCGGGTATGGCTCTAGTAGCTTTTCTCTTCTCTTTTGTAAGCTTTGTACTTTTATTAGAATACTCTTCTAAATACATTTATGGTATTGAAATACTTTCCGAGTATATGAGTACCTACTTTACATTATGTTCATGTTATACTGAATATACGGTTAGCTTATCTGGGAGATGCTTTGGTGCGGGTATAGTATTTGCTTATGCAATTACTCTATGTCATGATGATGATTTTAGAGTAGTATCTGGTAGTTTAGACGTGGTGTCTAGATTACGGGATATCATTATTTGGGGTTATATATTGCGGATGAGAGGTGGGCCGCTGATGGTGACAGCTCAGTACGGGTATTCCTCCACGCCGGTATATAATCCTAAGTTAATTCCCTGGGGAGGGTATTCCTCCGTATTTAGCCCCGGTTGTATGGTCATGACGGGCTGTCATAAGGAACTCGGCAGTCAGGGGTGGCTTCTCAAAGTACCAGGAGGGCATCGGATAGAGGATATTAGCTAGTATATCGGTTAACTAGAATGTATGTATACTATGTATATTAGAAGTATAGGAATAGATTTTCTTTCTCTTTTCTTTCCACTTAGCTTAGATAATATATTATGAGAATGGGTAGCTAATGCTTGTGTGTCACTCTACCCTTGAATTATCTTAACCCCTGCTTAGAATATGATTATCACAATTATATAAATTATTAGTTGAGTTCTCTCTACATGATCTTCCCACGGGATAAAATAAATACGATACCCTTGGAATACTCTCGGGTGAAATGCTACAATGGTATATTCGTGCGCTTGCGGATGAACTCTGTAACCATAATATACCAGAAATATTTCTGCGCCATTATTGGGAATTATATTTCTAGTAATGTTTTTAAGAAATACCAACAATAGGTCTCATTACCAACTTATATTGGTTGCATGAGGCTCTATGCGAGTATCCATGGATATACGAGGAGATGCATTTTCCATATGCTTCTTCTTCTTCTTCTTCTTCTTCTTCTTCTTCTTGCTTAATGCTTCTCGATGTGGGTGTGTACCAACGTTAGTGTGCACTCCAACAGCTGGGTTTCTTCTTTGATAGGAAGATGCGATACGCCTATTCTGACACTCCATACCACTTACCATATCTCAACTGACTCCCCTTCTATTCGATGAGGTACTTTCCGTGATTTTGAGTATGATAGTCCCTCTTGCTCAGTTTTCACCGGACGTCTCTGGTTACTTTAGGGGCGTGAGGAGCCGAAGTTTCTTGTCCAATTCTTTTTGTTCGAGGCCTCTAGACAAGACGAGGGATACCTTTACTTTCTTCGGTATCACCCTCCTCCGGTGCATGTCATTAATGCAACTTAGTCAAACTCTTAGAAATCACAAAAGTATTTACAAAATAATTTGGCAGTTTCAATTGTTTATGCATCGTTTTGTATACTCAGAGTAAGCTCTGTTTTATCAGTTTGGACAGTAGAAGCAGTGAGGAAGCCTGCATATTTGTCGTCCGGGAAATTTCTTCACTAATGACTAATTAGATTTGTTAATAACTAATTAGGGGCATGGATTAGAGGTGGGTGGGGCTGGCGCACCAACCAGCCACCAGCCCCAACAGTGGATCCGCCACTGAGGATGTCACACCCTCATATTCTGTGTCTCCATGTTCTTGTTAACATTATGCAACCCCTCTGAACTACGCATGTAGCATAGAGGTTGCATAATAGTGTGTAGGGGAGAGGGGAGAGAAGCGAGTTGGATTTTTTTTATATTTTCGAACTTTTGTAAAACTTATTTTATAAATAGAGCTTCGAAAAAACTTCTTCAGGGAATGGGTCAACGTTATTAGCGTCGTGATCCAATATGACGGTGCCAATGATATTGACGCCATCTCATTAGCCCTCCACGGAAGCTTAAGTTACTTATGTGAGGGGGTCGATACCAAAGTCATTGGCATATAGCATCTATTTATAAAAAAAAAAAATTAAAAAAATATTTGCAGTTAAAAATATTTACAAATAGGCCCTCAACACCAAATGTTAATTGCATTGAGGATCTATTTGTAAATATCTTTTTTAATTATAGGATCCTTTCACATAAGTGATTTAGTTTCCACATGGACGTTTGGGGGACGGACGTTGTTGTCATTAACACCAACGCCGTCATGTTGGATCACAACGAAATTCTCCCCTGTCTTAGAATATAACAACTTCTAGCTTATAGAATTTGTCCTAAAGTATAATAATTTTTTCAGCAATATTATCTTCTCAACCAATTATAACCCTCTACCATTCAATTTTTCCACCTACCTCTAATTATCCTCCAATCACAACACTCCACTATTTAATCATACCAACTTTCTTAATAATAACCGTGTCCAACTCGGACGCAGATTCAGTGACATTCCCCCGTGACATTCTCGGTGACATTCAGTCATTGACATGTGGGACCCACATGTGCCTGGACCCACATGTCAGTGACTCAATGTCACCGAGAATGTCACGGGGAAATGTCACCGAATCCCAATCCGTCCAACTCTAGAAATGCTTAATAATAGTAAGGTTTTAAGGGTCTATTCGTAAAATAAGTGTTTATAAGGGCAAAGAAAGTAAAATATCGAGGAGAAAGCCGGTTGGTCCGCATATTGACTGACTGACTAACTTTGACTTGATCGGATGATCATGAGTTTATACTCGTAGATAGGAAGGATCAGCAGCAGATTTGGGGAAAGTTGTTGCGCACAGCACACATTCTCTTTCTGAAACGCTCGAAATCCCCCAAAAATTGGCCCCCCTCGCTCGTAGTCCGGCGTCCGGCGATGGCTCTCCCCTCGCGTCGGTGGGCAGGGGCGGTGGAATCCGGCGTGGATCCGGTGGCGGAGGCTTGGGCGAAGCTGCTGCGGTCGCTTTCCCAGGCCATGGCGCGGCTGAGGGTGCAGATGGAGTCGTTCGACGATGCCCAGATGAGGTGGGCGCTGGCCGCCGGTGTCCGAGCCAAGGCGCAGCTGCTGGCTAGCCGCCTGGCTCAGATCCTCGCCCTCTTCTGGGACGAGGGGCAGCGCGCGGCGCTCCCGGCCTGCGTGCGGGATGCCCTGTACGGCATGGAAGACATGGTCGACGATTTGGAGTACCACATGCTCAAGTTCCAGCCTCATCAACAAGAGGTCAGATGCAATCTGCTCATCTCTCTTGTCAATCTCCGCTACCGGCTCATCATCAGCCACGCGTCTCGCTCCCGCTTCCTCAAGGATTTGGATTTCGTTGCGAGCGAGGCAGGCAGCCTCCTCTCCGCGATGCATAAGCTCGAGCCCACCGCTCCGTCGCTCCCTGCCCTGCTGCTTGCTGACGACGATCATCAGGTTGTGTTTGGGCGCCACAAGGAGGTCACTGACATTGTTCGAATACTCATTGATCCGCCGGCAAGCCACCACCACCACCCTACTTACGACATCCTCCCAATCGTTGGCATGGGGGGCGTGGGGAAGACCACACTCGCCAAGTTAGTCTATGATGATGCCAAGGTTAAGCAGCATTTCGAGCTCAGGCTCTGGGCGAGTGTCTCTACTAGTGGAGGGTTTCACAAAATTGACATCACCGAACAAATCTTGCGTTCAGCCAACCCAACATACCCTGCTTCTATTCACAGTGAACCTACGCTTGACATGCTTCAGTTCCATCTCAGCCAACTGGTAGCGTCCAAGAGATTCTTGCTTGTTCTCGATGACATCAGGGAGGAGTCCTTCACCAGCATGGCCTGCCAAGAGATCCTCAGTCCTCTATCATCGGCAGAAAAGGGGAGCAGAATTCTGGTGACTACTACAACAGCCTCAGTGCCTGCCATGCTGGGGGCATCTTGTACATACCACCTGAATGTATTGGACATCGAGGATTTGTGGTCCTTGCTCAAGAAATATGCTTTCCATGGAGGCCCAACTCATGATTCCACCCAGGAGCTTGAAGAAATTGGGAGGAACATCGCATCCAAGCTCAAAGGATTGCCATTGGCTGCCAAGATGCTTGGGGGGCTGCTTGGAGCTACAAAGAGCACAAAGACCTGGATGAATGTCTTGGACAAAGAACTTTATGGCGATAGTATTCTTCCCGTACTAGAATTGAGTTACAGTTACCTGCCTCGACGACTCAAGCAGTGCTTTTCGTTCTGCAGTTTGTTTCCGAGGAACTATAAATTTAACAAAAGAGTGTTGATCCAACTTTGGATGGCCCAAGGTTTTGTTCAGTCACAGAACAGTGCTGACAAAAATATGGAGGACCTGGCAGAAGATTATTTTGAGGAACTTCTTTCGCGATCCTTCTTTGATGTACGCAGGGAAGCGTGTGAAACACACTACGTGATGCATGACCTTGTCCATGACCTCGCGCAGTCTGTTTCGGCAGATCAATGCCTTCGTGTTGAGCATGGCATGATTTCTGAGAAGCCATCAACTGCTCGCTATGTATCTGTCACCCAAGATGGACTACAAGGCCTTGGGAGCTTCTGCAAACCTGAAAATTTGCGTACCTTGATAGTTCTAAGATCATTTATATTCTCCTCAAGTTGCTTCCAAGATGAATTCTTCAGGAAGATAAGGAACTTGCGTGTCTTAGACCTTAGTTGCTCTAACTTTGTACAGTTGCCTAACTCGATTGGTGAACTAGTGCACCTGCGTTACCTATCTCTCCCTCGCACCCTCAATATGCTTCCTGAGTCAGTCAGCAAGCTACTGCACCTCGAATCATTGTGCTTTCACAAGTGTTCCCTTGAAAAGCTTCCCGCAGGCATAACTATGCTGGTCAACTTGCGGCACCTTAACATTGCCACAAGGTTCATTGCACAGGTGTCCGGCATTGGGCGGCTTGTAAACCTTCAGGGATCAGTTGAATTCCATGTTAAAAAGGGGGTAGGATGTACCTTGGAAGAGCTGAAGGGCTTAAAAGATCTCCGTGGGAAACTAAAAATAAAGGGCCTTGATAATGTTTTAAGCAAAGAAGCAGCCAGCAAAGCCGAGTTGTACAAGAAACGACATCTTAGGGAGCTCAGTCTGGAATGGAACTCTGCAAGTAGAAATCTAGTCCTTGATGCAGATGCTATAATATTAGAAAACCTACAGCCACCCTCTAGCTTAGAAGTACTCAATATCAATAGGTACCAAGGTGCCATATGCCCTAGTTGGCTGCAGTTATCATCACTTAAGCAGCTTCAATCCTTGGACCTTATTAACTGCAGGAATTTGGAGATCCTACCTCCATTGGGACTATTACCGTCACTCAAATATCTATGTATGAAGGAACTGTGCACTGTTAATCAAATTGGACATGAGTTCTACGGCGATGATGATGTACCATTTCCATCCCTGATAATGCTTGTTTTCGATGATTTTCCAAGTTTATTTGATTGGTCTGGTGAAGTGAAAGGCAATCCGTTTCCCCATCTCCAAAAGCTAACACTTATAGACTGTCCAAATTTGGTTCAGGTTCCTCCATTGCCCCCTTCTGTCAGTGATGTTACAATGGAGCGTACAGCATTGATATCCTATTTGAGGCTTGCCAGATTGTCTTCGCCAAGGTCAGATATGCTCACGCTTGATGTTCGTAATATTAGTATACTTTGCTGGGGACTGTTCCATCAGTTACATTTGGAATCTGTCATATCTTTAAAAATAGAAGGTCGTGAGACACCTTTTGCCACCAAAGGATTGTGTTCGTTTACTTCTCTTCAAAGGCTTCAGTTATGTCAATTTGACTTAACAGACAATACGTTAAGTGGAACTCTCTACGCGCTTCCTTCGCTATGCTCCTTGGAGATGATCGATCTGCCCAATATAACATCCCTTTCAGTTCCATCAGACATTGATTTCTTCCCGAAACTTGCTGAATTGTACATATGCAACTGTCTGTTGTTTGCTTCCCTTGATTCCTTGCACATTTTCATTTCCCTAAAGCGATTGGTGATCGAGAGATGCCCCAAACTGACAGCAGGATCCTTCCCAGCAAACTTTAAGAACCTCACATCTCTCAAGGTACTAAGCATATCACACTGCAAGGATTTCCAATCTTTTCCTGTGGGTAGTGTACCACCGTCACTGGAAGCACTTCATCTCGTTGGTTGCCACCAAAGTTAACTGACAATGTGGTGTCAAGAAAAATGCTCCTTAACACACCAAAGCTCACTGATGGACCATGAAGGTAAAGCTGCTGCTGATTGCTTACTTGTCCTCTAATTGTTATGTAGCTGTGAAATGTATGCCTTCAAATAATCATGCATTTTATTTCGTTGACAATTCAGGAATCAGGAAATGTTCCTCGACTCTTCGAACACAGAAATATGCATTTTCACTAGTGATGATATGAAATGTTTCCCAAGTTGTATCTGCCTAATAGATGATAATCAAGCCAACCACTAGCTTGATGGACTTGTAACATAGGCTCTATAAAATGGTTTCACTAGTTGATAAATTTTACTCAAATCCATGGCTTTCATTAGATATGGCCGCATATTCGTTGTTTATGGATTAGGAATCAGATATGTGTATACTAGTCATAGAGGTGTACCTTCTACAAATTTGATGAAAAACTCTCAACCCCTATAAAGGGTTATACACAAGTTTGAACTGTACATTAAGTTCTTTTAGTGGTTGCTAAGATTGTTCGCAGCTCTCTAGTTCCGGGAAAAAAATTGCTCAATGGCTATATAGCCATGAGCTAACCAGTTTCTTTATCCTTGATACTGCTATATCCAAATATGTGATTGGAAAATTTGTTGGTGGCCACAGCCACATTTGTGAAGTTTATGTGATATACACTTCTAAACTACTAAATATAGAGTATGCACCATAATAGCATTAGAATGCATGTACCAAAACAAAATTTACGATAAATTTCATGAGTACCAAATAGCATGCATATAGGTCGATGGGCACTTAAAATGCATTCATAATTTCGTATGCAGCATTTTGTATCGCACATCGGTTTGCACCTTAACCAGGTGCTCCCTTGAAATTCTCTTTGCTTCAGATTGTGATCTAGCATTTGAATAATTAGGATCAACAGATTATTAGCTATTTGTTTTGTTCTTTAGCGTTGGATGTATAAAAAACTGCTCAGAGTTTTGATAAATACACAATAGTTGCTTAACCAGTAAAGTGACATGGTAATCTGCATACTTATTACAAATGAGGAAACACCCCCTGCGTCCATCGCAACAAACATATGGTACAGATTGGGAGAGGGTAACAACAAAAAGGAAATCATGTGGATACAAGATAAAATCCCAAACATGAACTGCATTTCTGCAAACATCAGTCACCACCTTAGGTTTGAAGCAGAATATAAAACGTGTCTAAAACAAACAGTCAGAGACCTGGAACAAAGTATTGCCCTGCAACTCCCTTGCATTTGTCTTGATGCTGTTTTGTGCCGCAGAGATCTCATTGCTAGCCATATATTTTGTTTAGGTGCAGCTAAGTGTCATACTCTTGCAGGCTTATAGGAGAGCATTGTGATGCTTTGAACTCATGAAGTGCTATTTCTGAATTCTGATCTAACGTATTTGTTTGATTTCTGCAGAACATAAACAAAAAAAAATCTTGACAACGGATAGCAGGTTACACAAATAATGTTGCATGGAGAAATCAAGTGACGGCTCGCAAGTAGTAGGAGAGGACGAGCGGTAGTGCATATGACGTCGACCTTGCCAAGTAACTTCAGGCTCATCCCTTGGAGACATGAGAGATGAGCGACCATACAATACAAGGCCAATGTATTCTGATCTGTTTAGGATCTCTTCATCACCTCGTCTCTTTATATTTCTTTGTTAAGCCAGGGTTGGACGGCCATCTCCTTGCTAGGCTGAAGAAACAATGGAACACATCCTAGTCTCTGTTTTTAGCCTTCAGAATTGAAAGTTGATCCTATAGAGGTTAGGCTTCTCTTCCATCTCCCCAACTCTTGACACAAACAACTTCTCCAGTTGCTGGTCTAGGGCTTTGAAGGGCACAAGAAAGTAGGATAAGAAAGGATTTAACTCGCTTAATTTGTTTTGGAAATCTAGAAGCAATGGGAGCGATTGCATGTTTAATGGTGCAAATCCTAGTGTGCTGGCTGTAATTCAAGGCGCCTTATGGTGCTTGGCTGGTGCTTCTGAGCTCCGTGGGGGTGCTCGAATCTCGATAGGTCGTTAGCCCGTATGGTTTAAGGGGTAGTTTATTTTTGAATTTTTTTTAAAGGGAAGTCTATATGGGATTTGGATGATATTTTAGGCTTCAATCATGCAGATTTTAAATCCAATTGGATGCTCTTTCACCAAGTAGATCGAAAATGTTTCACCAAGTAGATCGAAAATGTTTTAATCTTTTAAAAAACTGAAACACAATCAAATCATCTTATGAAACATTTTGCTATAACATATGTAACAACGGTTCTCAATATACTAAAACATGAATGATTTAGCTATCAAAAATCATTCAAATCATTCGACAGCTATTTAACCTTCCATAGGATGGGGGATTTTCTAATTCCCCATCCATTTGTATCTCTCTCTTGCTTAATGAAATATGTGTAGATCACCTACGTGTTCAAGAAAATGATGCAAAGGAAAGGGCCGTTAGTTCAGATATAGGCAAATTATTATGCTTGTGCTTGATTCCAAATACTCTGTCCGTTTCAAAATTATATTCTTGTCCTTTCTTGTTTTTGGTGCCTTAACTTCATCTTTATTTTTATTAGAAAATAACATCCTCTAAGAGCAAGGATAATAATAGAGCCCACTTCCTACTATTAGCTCATTTTAAAGCCAACATATATAATAGATTAGCTATAAGATTGGCTACAATTTTCTTCTCATCTCTCTATCTCTCAGTTATACATTTAATGCATTTGTCTTAGAGCTTGTGATAAGCTAGCTGAGAGCCAACATCCTTAATTTTTCACTACATCTCTCCGCCACCTAAGGTTATAATAGGCTTATAGCTCACTATTATACTTGCTCTAAGTAGGAGATAAAGGGCATCGATACGGTGTCAAAAGGTACGCATGTACATGCCTTTGGAATTTAGGTGGGCAGCACCGGACGCGATTGCGTGGAAATCTAATAGCCTACGACGGTGGACCGGTCGGTTTAAATGATAGTTGATGGTCAGATTTTTTTTTTAGAATTTCGAGGATTTCTCTGATTTTAGAAGGTATCATGTGATGGTGTACGAGTGTTTTTTAGGAAATGTACTGAACTTTTAGTTTATAATAGTATTGTCGAAACGACAACCGCATACGTCGAAAGACGTGGTTACTCAACAGTGGTTGGAAAAGAAGTAAAGTGTATTAATTTGAGAATTTTTTACTTGGGATCCCCCTATTACATGGCCCTATGGGGCTATTTATAGCCCCCATTACAGGTCTTACTACTAGGGCTTTGGTTATGCAGGGGAATTTATATGGCTGCCCTTATGAAAGGGACATTTACATGGATACATAGCGTAATTGCGGTCCATGGGCCCTCAGCGGGCCAACAGGTTATTGTCGACCCAATTAACCCCTGGGCTTGATGGGCCAGGATAGCTTCTTCGGCCCTCCCGGGGCCGAACCTGCTACGGCGAAGTCGTCCCCCTTCGACACATGCTCTTCGCCTTGCGCCCTTCGCCCAGGAGGCCTCTAGCTTGGCTGCGATTCCCTGCCTCTCGCCGTCCTTGCTCCATAGTCTTCGACATGGGGAGGGTTCGCCTTGACTAACCTGTAACACCCTGAAAATTTGACCAATAAAAACAAAACTCTAAAAATATGGACCTTCGAAAACTTTTAAATTAATTACATCATGCCGATCTTATTCGCCTATTTTATTTGGATTTGATTTCGAAGTTCATTAATCGTGAGTAAAGAATAGTTAATTAGGAATAAACCCTAAAAATAAATTGGTAAAATAAATATAATTTAAAATAAAGATTAGGTGTGGATAGAAATAAATAAAATATTATCGCGACCATATTTGTATCAATTAAATTTAAATGTGATAGAATAAGAATTAACCCTAATTAAAAATTCAAATAAATTATATAAATAAAATATGAGTAATATTAATCTAGGGTGAATCCATTAGTTGAGATAACACAAATATTGAGTAAAATTCATATATGCAAAAATTAGGAATTGTGGAATCAAATTTATATAAGAAATGGACTTAAATGGGAAAAATAGGAAAATACACTGTTCATTGCACTCTAGGTGCTCGACGTGGTCCCCTAGCCTAGCCCCCTCCTCTGCCTCGCACCTGCGCCCCGCGTCGCCGTCGCCTAGCGCCCCGTGCCCTGTCGCGCGTCGCCGCGCCGCTGTCCCGTCACCGTCGCGTCGCCCGTCCCGCGCCGCGCGCCGTCTCCTCGCCGACGCGTCTCGCCGCCGCCCGCGCGCCGCTCGCCCGTCCCCTCACCGCCTCGCGCCCCGCGCCCCGCCGCGCTGCTCGCCCGTCGCGTCTTGTGCCTCGCGCCGCGCCGCTGCCGCCTGCCGCTGTCGCCGTCGCCGTCGACGTCCCGTCGCCGCGCGCGCGTCCCATCGCCGCCTCGCACCCCGCGCCGCCGCGCTGCCGTCGCGTCACCCGCCCCCTCTCTCTTCCCTCTCCCCTTACTCCCCCCTCTCCCCTATAAAAGCTCCACCGTTCTCCCCTCTCCTCACTCCATCCCCTCCTCCTCCCCTCTACCCTCTCCACCACGCCGCCGCCTTCGTGCCGCCGCAGCGCCGCTTTTGTGCTGCCGCGCCGCCGCCCTCGGTGACGCCGCACCGCGCTGGGTGCCGCGTCGCCTGCGTCGGTCGCCGTCGTCGCCGCCGCCGCCGCCGCTGTCTGTAGGCCGCCGCCCCCTCCCCTTCTCGTTTCGCCGCCATTGCTGCCGGGGAGCGCAGCCGAGAGAGAGAGGAAGAAAGAAGCCAGGAGGGAGAGAAAAGAAAGAAAAGAAAGAGAGAAAGAAAAAAAAAGAAAAAGAAAGAAAAAAAAAGAAAAAGAAAGGGAGAGTAAAGGAGAGAAAAAGAAAAGGAGAATAAATAGGAAGTTGAGGGAGATTAAGAAGTTTGGAAATTCTAAAATAATTAGAAATTAATTAGAGATTAATTATAGTCTAGAATTGTAAAATATTAATATAATTATAGATTATTTTCGATAATCTCTGTAAGTGATTGATTCACGGTAGGAATTTAGATTTATTTAAGAAATAAATAATTATGTTGAATACTTAGGAATGTACTTATAAATCACAAAGTGATTTAGGTTGAATGACCCTAAAATTGGAATAGCGTAGTTTCTTAAACTTTGTGGTCAACGTAGAAACTTCGATTCGCGTTCGACTTCTATTTGAGTTTATTCGGATTTTACTTGAATTCTAATTGAATTCAAATCATTCCTTCGCACGTAACTTTAGAGCCCGAGGGAGTTGCGGATCCGAGCAAGGATCAAGACCCGCAGGACTACGAGCAAGGCAAGTCATCACTATTCTTTGAACATGTTGATCCCAATTGCGAAATTATTTTGTTTACAAATAAATTGCATGCAATGATGAACATCCTACTTGTGATTATGCCATGCCTTGATTCTTGTTTACCCCTTTTGCCTTCGTAACCATGTTTACGTATGAGTCCCTAGTCAATTATGACAATTGCTTAGAAATGCTATTCTAGAATCATGCATATTCATATTTATCAAATGCTATATGTTTGGGCAATTACCTTTGGGAAGGTAATTGAGATGCGGCATGTGGAGACATGAGCGCCACATTGCCATGATGTTAATGACATGAATTGTGAAAGGAGAAATAAAATTAACCAACTGTTTTCGACTAGGGCGGACGGAGGATTTGGGTGGTATCCGGAAAAGGCTAGTGCCATTCCCGGTCAATTAAGGACCGAGCCATGAAGTTAAGCATTAAACGACCCCCGTACAACCACACTTCTCGTATGGGTATAGACCTAGCGGAGTAGATAGCTGAGCGGAGGCAGTATCCATGCATAGTGGTTTCTTGATGTGTGAGGCAGGGGCTCTACGGTGGGGCAGCCATTGGTAGGACCGCGAGGCAGGTGTCTACAGTGGTGTCGCCATTGGTAGGACTGCCATGTGAGAATCTAAACGTAATTATAACTTAATGCATGTGTGAGTCTTCCCTTCCCGGGTGCGCCAGAACTCCTCTCACTGCTAGAAACCGTGTACGCCTAGAGTGCATGAGGATGTAAAGTTCATGGAGCGGGTACTGCCAATGCGAGCTTATCGAAAAGTTTTGCCGTGACGCATCTCATGTGTTGGGACGAGGCTCATGTGTTGGGCAGTCGCGGAGTGCAGGTAAAGTATACATCCACTGCAGTGTGAGTAAACCAAATCTATTCGAATAGCCGTGCTCGCGGTTATTGAGCACCGGGACGTGTATTACACTTGGCTAGACTCTAAAATCTTAACTTGTGTGGGATAGGATATTGCATGATGATTTTTATGCTGTTGGAGCCACTTCCTGAGAGGCGGGAAGGTGGACGTCCTCAGAAAACCATGATGACTCAATGGCGGAAAGCTATCCTTGGGATCACAATGGATGGTGGACAGAACCGTCATTGTTTAATATGAACACTGGTACTAAAATTTGATCAGTCTGTGCTAGGTCTTAGGCTTGTGAAAAGAATTACAGAACTGGCCTTGCGCAAAAGAACCATAGCCATCCTTTGAATACCCCTGTCATGTGCATTGTTGCTGTGGTGGCTTGCTGAGTACGGTTGGTACTCACCCTTGTAATATACAAACTTAATCAGAGGTCGGAGATGAAGCTTCGGAGGATCCCTACGCTTACTACCAGGAGGGTGATGAAGACGATGGTGCTCAGTAGGTCTTAGTTACGGTCGTTGCCTGTGGCAATGGCGTGCCGCTGCCTTAACTCCGCTGCCTTACCTACTTCTGTTTTTGGAATGTATTCCGGACCGCTCGGTCCGATGATCTAAGACTACGCCTGTGGGCTTTTGATGTAATAATTCGCACTAGACTTTCGTGTATGTGCATTTGATATTTCAGCTATGAACTCGTGT